ACAACATATTATCTACACCGTCCATTTTCAAGATTTTCATATGTTTATAGATCTACTTGATTTTAACTATTTTTTAAATTTAAAATTTTATAATTAGTTATAAAAATAGATTTTGAGATAATCCTAAAAATATTTTACCTCAAAATTATATACCATGATAAAATTTGAAGGTGCACCTTACCTCCAGTATCCGTATGCCAAGTACACCCTTTTTCTTTTCAAAACAAGATTTTCATTGAGAATGTGAAAAGGATACAAGAAAAGGACACCAAAAAAGAAAAACATAATTGATTTTTTTTTTTTTTTTGGGGAAGATAGACCCCTACCCGTTTTTCATATCGATTAGGGAGTTAGCTTCTTTTTTTTTCATATAGATTAGAGAGTTAGCTTTTTGAATATGTCAGTGAGTGGTTTCAACAGGATTAGAAACCACAGTGTAATAACTAAGTATAGGGGTGCTTCCACCACGACCCAACCCCTTGAGAATTGCCTTTTATAGTTTTGCAATGGTCGACATTAATGCTAATTCTTGAATAAGCCGGTTCAAATCATACCATGCACTTGTGACCACAATACCATAGGTGCTCCTGTGATTTCTTAGCTACGAAATATAAGAGATTTCTCATATGCCCTCATACATAAAATATTTGTGTATCAGGAAATGTGTGTCTGCCCAATCCTGTTCAAATGGCTAAAAGTGTATAAATAACGATATCTCTTGACGAATATAACTAAGGAAAAGTATAGAATGAAACCATTTACCTTTGATACAATGTAGTCACAATTAATTTTGACCATTAAATATAAAATTAGGTGGCTGCATTTATTTCATTGATCAAGTTCAAAGTTCAAAAGAAATTTTCTCGAACTTTGTGACACACATAGGCTATTATATTTCACATTAAATGGTTGTAAGTAGTTGTGGCCTCCCTGTACCAAAAGTAAATAGTCTCATTATATACAATCCCTATAACTAATAGAGCCTGTACCAAAAGTAAATAGTCTCATTATATACAAT